GCTCTGATGTCGGATGTTACAGTTGCCGATCCCATTCCTTCTGATTAAATAAACCGTTTTTCACTCCGACTTTTAATGCGTACGGAAAAGTCTTGTATTTACTATGACGAGTCTCCTAAAAATAAGATTTTTAAAATCACTATACTGTACATCGCCTTGTCTACATAATCGCAGCACACAGTATGAGCATCAGTATCATACGTTCAACATAAAGAGGCGTAACACCCGTATTGCTGTACGTACCACGGCGCCAGCCCTACACCTCACCCGGGTGTAGCACGTGAAACCGGGTGGGGTGATGCGGGGGTTTGTTTACTCCCGAGCAAAGAAATGTCTGTTTGGTTCACAGTCTGTGTAGTAACATTCTAATCAGGGGATCACATGCTTGGTCGGCCTAGACCTGGTTTCAGCACATGCACTGACCTCACACACGCGCACACACACACACACACGCACACACACACACACACACACACACACACACACACACACACAGCAAGCTGTCACCAGAATGAATACTTTGCACCCACACATAACCACCATTCGCCAACACATCCAACCACACCAATGAGCCCACCCTGACTGTGCATCCAAATCCACCGTCCCGACTGACTTTAATTTGCCGTTTCAAGTCTCTGTGTGGCACTGGGTTGGCAGGGTGGCACCGCTGGGGCTTTGTGGGTGTCTACCGTGCCGAGGGAGGGGGCTTGTGCCCACAAGCTGTCTGCCAGGCATCAAAGGAGCCTCTCATTCTGTTTGGTGAAACATTTTTACATACTGAGTTATTTACTGTTTTTGCAAACTTATTTTTTTACACACATTAACTCTTCGGTGGGTGACTGTGCCGACATGAACGCCAGGTGTACACATGTGCAGGTGTGCCGGTATGGATGCTGATAACCACGTTAGAACAAAGAAAGTGCTCAGAGATGGACTAAGGAGGAGGACGCTGCAATGTAAAAGAATCCCCGCTGAGATATGAGGTGCTCATCTTAAATCGTTGGACATTTTAACATACAAGTGGTGTTAATACAATCTACTAATTGTTTACAAATGTTTGAACATTTAAACATATATTTGATCCACTTCAAGTCAATTTAATTTTTAAAAATGTGTCTATTTACGGCCATTTAAGGAAACTTACAGTGATAAGTGCTATTTTCAGTCATTTTCTTTTACTTTATCATGATGCTTAATCTGACATCATCAGCAAATCTAACTTTTAAGTGAGTCAGCTTAACTGAAATGTATATATTTTGGTAAATTTTGTTTTTGTTTTTAGGGTCATTAACTTATTCACATGTCATAAAATAACTGTGAAATAATTATTTGACTTTATTTTGATTAACTCGAACACGCACTAAGATTTGTGAAATCCACAATGAAGATGAATGAGGCGAAACCTCCATCCATCATTTTCTGTTGCTGCTTTATGAAAACTCTTGGACAATCCAGAGTAATGAGGAGATTATTTAACAATGAGGGTGATGTTACTGTATCCTGACAAAATACCTCTCAGGCCTTTACTTCATCCTCACATACTCGTTAAAGGACGAGGTAATATTATATTGTTTTCTCAACGTCTACAAATCCCACGAAGAGACCAAAACCGACAATGTGTTAGTCTTACTCTCAGTAATTTGTGTCCTAACCTTTGTGTGGCACTCAGCCCTGTACTGAGCACTATTATAAACCAATAATGAGAGAGAGAGAGAGAGAGAGGCCTGCAGCTTTGTGCGGGATCTGTTGACAAAGAAGTATACAGTCACGAGCAATATAATCTAAATGTAATATTTGAATGCAGTGTGAACCACAAATTACATTTCGTATTTGTGTGTAGGTGGAAATCTCAACACCTCTACCAATAAAACCAAAACTACCTCCATGACAATACCGCCGGAGGTAAGAGACAAAACATGGTTTCTCCACGTAATTCTGGACAAGTGACTGTTTGGAATGCAATAGTAAACCCTCATCACTAGTTTGCACAGTGCAGTACAGTAATCTTACATCACTATAGCCATGCACCAACAAATCTCTCATGTTCACTGCCCAGCACCATATGATGCATTTGGAGAAAAAAAAGATGAAACTGTTGAACCAGAAGGAAAAAACACTTTAACACCACGTGTTGATGGACTTGTAAACACACAAGATGCTGCCTGTGCAATCAGAGATGCTTGAAGGCTTTAAATCAATCTGCCTTCTCGCCCTCCGAGGGATGACGGACCACATACAGTCTGTGATTAAATGCCCACCCACACAGACAGACAGGCAGGCAGACACACACACAGAAAATCAGACAGACAGACAGACAGACAGAAAGACAGGCGGACAGACAGAAAGACAGACGGCCGTCATTAAGGAGGGCAAGCAGTCAGGTGTGCAGAGAAGTCTTTCAACTATTTCAAAAGTTGAATAGAAATAAACTTTTTCCATGGCAGCTCAGCTAAAATATTATTATATTTAAATATCGAATGGAGACTTTATTAACTTTGCACTTGAACAAAATAAAATAATACATGACACATTGTACACTCTGAAAGGTACAGCATGTTCATTGCACCCGTGAGCTTTCCATGACAAAGAAAAGCATTTAATACTCACGTTGACAAGCTGGAACTTGTACCATCCAGGTACAGTAGCACAACTCATGTGAATTCATGTGTTATAAAAATCTGCTTATATCCTTCAAATATGTCATCCTTGCGACCCTCCATTGCCAATGAAGATCTATCAGACCAAGCTAACGAGCTAACAGTTAATGTTAGCGTACGTCCCGCTAACATTAGATGAGTGCACACAGCTACTGGAACTAACATTACGTGACAAGTTGACTCGAGGGGTAACCCGGCGCTGTTGTCTGTAGGACAAACAATCGTACTAAAAACATTTATCATAATACTGTACGTGGGTAGAAAATCATAACCGTACACATTAGCTTGGTAGCTAGCAGGAGCCACTTGTACAACAACACTAGGCTGAAACTATATCAAAATAATCAATGTTTTATTATTTGGTGTTAAAAACAACTAGAGTGGGTAAAGGGGTTATGACACCAGGCAAGCAAATGAAGCCCACCCTCAAATAAAAACATTTCTCAGAAATCTTTGGAATGATCAGGTGCACAATTCAACAGACTTAATAACAAAGGTCCTGTAGTTTAAAGTCATTTTAATGTTGAAATGTTAAGTTATACCGTTCTGAAACAAGCATTTGTCTTTTGAAGACAAATGCTTGTTTCAAGTGCCACACTGAGAGAGCCTGAGAGGTTTCACAATCATTATAGGCCGCGAGGTTTGTAAAAAATGACTAAAACAATTGTCGAGATGGCTAGCGAGATGCATTACTGTACAATAAATGTCTCATCTCCTAATGAAAGATTGATCTTTTAGCTCACCTCACTTTATGAGGACTGAGAGCTGTTTTTACGGAGCATTCACTGAGCCGTATTATCATGTTGACGGTCAATCTGCTGCATGTTCAGTCGACTGGCGGATGATGCCGATTGGAGGAGGATGTAGAAACCAACTGAGACACACTGTCTGTCCTTGGTGTCCACTGCCCTCTACTGTATAAATAAGTGAACAAGTCTAAGAGGGGAAGACTGTAGCAGCGAATAGTACATTTATAAAGACGTCTTTCTGTTGGCTACTGAACCAGCCTAATGTGAGTTTCAACTAATTATCTTTAATAATGCTGTAAACTGTTTTAAGCTGCTTCTGTGTGTTTCTTTGGAGCTTGTTGTCATTACTTGTGTCATTTTATTTAAAACTGAGTGTAGTACAGGATGTGCATTGAGCCGTACTGCGTCCGGCATTAAGGAACAAATAACATTTCACTGATGATCGTCCTAATCCTGCAGACGCCACGAATAGTCATATTAAAGTTCTAGTAATAAAAAACCCGAGGCTGCCACCTGAAAATGAGGCACAACTACTTCAATTGTGTAGTAGTATTTTCAGAGTAATCCGCAGAGTTCCTTCACAAGAACCTGAAGATGACTTTGAGTCGAAATGTGGTCGGAGGGGGAATGTTCTCCCTCTTTGATCTTACACCCCCTAATTACTTCCTGAAGATTATACAGTACGTGCACCTCCGCACTGCCCTTACTGAGTGAGTGTGTGTGTGTGTGTGTGTGTGAGGGGGGGGGGGGGGGTGATGTGTTTGCATGCTTGCCCGAGGGCAGCCGAGGCAGATGCCTGATGACAGACTGAGATAGGGGGACAAAACATGAAGACAAAAAACACCATGTCTTCAAACAGAGACAACTTATAAATAAGTTTGGCAGTCATGCATTAAGTGCACAAAGCGTGTAAACTGACCAAGAGTCAGACTAGAGAAAAATAAACCGATAGAAGTGTTGTTGAAGTCGCCGAGCTGGTCGACGGGAGGCTTTTTGTGGGGCAGTAAAAGTAGCAGAGACACTAGCGGAGGTGAATGAGCGATCGGCCTGGAGGATGAGCACTGCGTTGACTCTGCCGTCGAATTGAGATGATATTACATCCGTTACTGGGATGGGGTCCAGCTGGGAAGAGGCCGACTTCAAGGTTGGAGTGCTGGGAGAGATTAATTTTTTACTCACTATCTTCACAACGATGTATTTTGAACTGCCAGACGGAGGATGTTCAAATTAGCACCGGAGCACTGAAGAGACTTTAAATGTCTTCCAGAGCAACGCAGCGTTTCCTGATATGACGCCACACAGCAGGACGTCACCTGCTTGTGCCTTTTGAAACTGGGGTTACGGTGAGTTTAGGTTCAGGGTCAGATTATGGTTTTGGGTTCAAGTGACCATATCGTAAGTGCACCTTGGTTTACAGCTTATTCAATGTAGGTAACTCTCCTTGGTTTTCTTTATAGTTCACACTTCCAACATGGTTACACATGCAAAAAAAAATTATATATATATATATATATATGCTGGGAAGTTGTTTCAACTAAAAATAAAAATACCCGCTGAGTTACAGATGTCTTTTTCCCAGAGTTCCCTCTGGGAAAAAGTATTTTTGGCCCTGATATTATCATGTGACCAGAGGTTGCAATTTCATGGTTTGTCTACATTGCAGAATTTGCTTCAAAGCTTGCTGGATGCTTGGTATTGTTGGTCTTCATGTTCCCCTTTTGTCATCCATTATAAATGTTCCTCTTTGTGTTGAGTTTGTCAGGTTCATTTTGTCCATGTCGGGTTAGAGTGGTGTAGCCTGATTTACGTTCTATTTGACTTTTCTTATTGGCCTGGAATTTTATTACATGTTTTCTTTTAATTTGGTGGATTGTCTAAAACCTAAATAACTTTGACCCTAGATTCTCATCCTGCTTGTAGTTATCTCACTAACATAAATGGTATAGGGCTTTTTTAAAATCAAAATCCAACTAATACTTATATTAATCCAGACTGTTTCCCCAAATGTATTTCAGTATGTAATTTGTACTTGAAATAAATCATAGCATGAAAATAAATCAAACAAATAAACACTTTCAGTTGTATAAAAGCTCTTGGATTGTAAACCTGATCGCTGTACTACAACTACTGTCCTCCAGAGGGCGACAAAAACCACACAGCTTTGACACAAAACAGACAACACATTAACACGCTAAAGGATATACAAACATAAACATTAGTTAATGATCGCCCGTGTTACAGAATAAAAAAACATTAACATCCAGACATTCAGCATTCTGCCCAATAGCCTACAGTACTACGCCCCCCTTGCCCCCTCTGACCCCCCTTAATATCCCCGTCAAATGAAACGTGAGAACCGCCAACTCAGCAGCGTGTGTGAAACTTCCTCCCCGCCGACCGGGAGCTGCCAGCACCCGGCTGCTGAACCAGCAACATGGCCAAAGTGACCGGCGGCGCCTCCGGTTGTCGAGCCATGGTAAAGGCGGGAAGGTACCTGTCCACCCCGTCTGTGACCCGGTGCCCCGGCGGTCAGCGGCGGCGGGAGAAGTTCGGTCCGCAGCCGCGGACCATGAGCGCTGTCGCCGCCGGGACGGGAGGAAACGGCGTGGCTTTGGCCCAGCACGAGCGGCCGGGAAGTCTCTCCGACCGACACGCGCCGACCAACGGGAATCTCATTTACCGGGACGTGAAGGCGTTCCTCAACGAAGTCGGCGGGAACCCCCGGGAGGCCCGGTACTGGCTGACCCAGTTCCAGAGGGCGACTTCGGCTCAGTCTACTGCCTTTGCCGTACTGGAGGTATGGCGGGTAAACTTTTATTCAGTGAAAAAGATGTAGTCACTTTGCTACGTACCGACCGTTTGTCACATGGAGGCGAGTTTTATAACGTGATTAGGCCCTTATGAATTAGTTGTAGTCGTTTTATCCTTCATGAACTGGTACCATTTCTTACCAAATCATAATTTAGTTTTGGGTGTAAAAAGGCTTGTTTTTGACAAGTGGTGTAAATTAAAAATACAAAATTAAACCGAATAAGTAAGCTGGAAGTAGCTGAGGCAACAAAATATGATACTTCATAATTAATACGCACATAGAAAATGGGAAAAAATCGGTTTACTAAAATGAAGACAAAAAGTATGTTACGAATAAAAATGAAAATGAACCACATTGGACCACCACCAGGGATGCTATAAATACAATAATAGTTCATTTATAGAGCAACCTTTAAAGACATCACAATTCTTTGCTTCACAGGAAAAAAAACATCATGTACTGCAGACATCAAACTCCAAAGTTATGACACGAAGACTAACTGCTATTAAAAAAAGTCTGCATTTAAGTTAAAGGTCTCCGTTTGTCTTCGTCTCCCAGGTGGACAGCTCAGTGTTCAGCAGCAGGGAGATGGTGCACAGCCTGGCCTTCGGGCTCTCCTTCCTGCAGCGCATGGACATGAAGCCCGTGGTGGTGATGGGCCGGGCCGCGTGCGAGGAGATGGGGCCGTCCGAGCCGCTGGCCGGGTCTCCGTGCGAGCGAGGGCTGGTGGAGCGCAGCCAGCAGCTGACGGAGGCTCTGCAGCAGCACTCGGCCTCCGTCCTGCCGCTGTTCTCCGCGGAGTCCTTCCTCCTTCTCCACGAAGCCTCGCGCGGGAGCAGGTGAGCATATATATAATTATTAATTAATTATATATTAATTATTAATATATATATAATTATTAATTATGTATATATATATATATATATATATATAATTATGTTGGAATTTTCCAGCACATCACACCTAACATGTTGCAATGTCATCGCTAGAGGCAGCTCCTCGCCATCATGTCCGTCCACTCGTTAATCTTAGAATATGCCAACGTTATGGAAAGAAGTCTCATTCCGAACCGTAGGCTTTACCTCCTTCTCCCTCGCCTAACTTCCACCTGACCCTGTCGCCATCATCCTCTTCCCGCAGCGCTCCGCCCTCGGTCGCCGTGGACACCCGCCTCCTGCAGTGGAGCCTGAACTGCGGGATGATCCCAGTAGTGTGCCCGGTGGGGAGGGACGGGCGGGGGTGCTCGCTGGCTTTGGACCAGACCGAGGTGACGGCCGCTCTCGCCCGCGCCCTGCAGCCCCACAAAGTCATGTTCCTGAACAAGTCTGGAGGTCTTCGCAGCCGAGAAAACAAGGCACGTTCCCACCGAGTTTGGCTGCGCTTGTCCGGACATTACACATGCATTGTAGAAGGACTCGTGCGACTCTCCTGCTTCGTCTTTGTGCTGCAGGTGCTGGACATAGTGTCGTTGCCTAGCGACCTGCCTGGTCTGTCCACGGCGGCGTGGCTGAGCGCCGCGGAGCGCCGCAGGGTGACGGCCATAGCCAGGCTGCTCAATCAGCTGCTGACCGAGTCGTCCGCCGTGATCACCTCCGCCGACACGCTTCTGACCGAGCTGTTCAGCCACAGAGGCGAGGCCACCTACTCACTCTGTCCCAACGCGTTGACATGCACGGAGAGACGCCTGTTTGAGGTGTAACCCGAGAGGGGCACCGGAACATGTATATGCATGTTGGTGTGTGATGATAAATGCCTGTTCTTTTGCTCTGTTTTTGTGGCTCAGGATCGGGAACACTCTTTAAAAACGGAGACCCCATACATCGGTAGGTACTTATCACACACACGGGTAACACGACCCGTAACCCTAAATGCCACAAAGCCATGGTTGCTTTCGGCTTCAGAAAATGAGCACAGTGCATTCGGCTCACCTTTTGCATTCATAGTGAATAAATGTTCCGTGTGTGCAGGTACAGCTCCCTGGATGGCGTCGATGCAGACCGTCTGTTGGCCCTCGTCAACGTGTCTTTTGACAAAACTCTGAGGCGAGACTACATCGACTCCCTGAAGGGACGACTGCACTCCATCTATCTCTCCGAAGGGTAGATGCAAAACGACGTCCACGTGACCACACGTGAATCAGCAATGCAGTCTGCATCCTGTCCTCCATCCTCAACGTTTTCCTATCATTCCGTCCCTGCAGCTACAGCGCGGCGGCCATCGTCACCATGGAGCCGGTGAACAGCGGCACGCCCTACCTCGATAAGTTTGTGGTGAGCAGCAGCAAGCAGGGTCAGGGCACCAGCCATGTCCTATGGGAATGCATCAGACAGGACCTGGGCAAACTGTTTTGGAGGTCTAGAGCCACCAACAGGATCAACCCCTGGTGAGACGCACACACATCGTAAAACTCTGCAACTTACAGTTTTGGGCATTCTACAAAAGTGAGTGTGTTGCTTTTTAAAACGAGTAAATGAAAACGTGGTTCAGTGGTTCAACTGAAGTTAAGGAACTGTGACCCCAGAATGCATTACATTTCCTATACAGTGCTGCATCACTAAATTTCAGGTTACCTTTCCCATCGATCGGGTCTGTACCTTGTTCTTTTGTTAAATATTATTTATCTTATGTCATTTCTGTCTCTATATGATCACATGTTTACAATTCTCCATCTGCAATGTGAGGTTGAATTGTGTGTGTGTGTGTGTGTGTGTGTGTGTGTGTGTGTGTGTGTGTGCAGGTATTTCAAACACTGTGATGGCAGCTTCGTTAACGGGTCGTGGACAGTCTTCTGGTTCGGTCTGACCGACATCAGAGATTCCTACGAGCTGGTGGAGTACGCCAAGAATCTCCCCGACTCCTTCCACGTCTCCTCCCTCACCGCCTCCGGCGGGTCCTGAAGCACCTCCACCCAGCTACTGCTTGTGGGGCTCATTAACTCTCCCATGGATCAATAGTGTTTCCTAATCTTTTGCGCTAAATTTTTACTTTTCAGAATCTGTTTCTAGTTTGGATTTATCTTTTTTCCTGTTGTTTTCCTTTTTAATTACTTAGTTAATTAGGTTCCATCCTTCTGGATTGTGGAGCTTTGAATAATCCTCCATTCTGAGGACTTGGGTTAGCTCTAAAGTTTAGTGTTTTTTTTGCCAAGAAACGGCTTCTTCTACTTCATTTTAATAACATTTTAGTATTATCATTTATTTATCAGTTCTGTCCACAGTGGAGGAATCTCAAAACGTACGTATTTACCAAAGACTGTGGCATTACAAAGTATTCCTCACATTTGGAAACACAAACGGGGTGTTGTTTAAGGAGGACTGTGTGTTAATGGTGATATGTTTGCATCGGAGACTTGAATACACATATCAATCTTACAGCTCATTTTGTATATTGATAGCTGACAAGTTGGGGCCCATATAAGAAAGGTGGTAATGTTACATGTGGTAAAGATCTGATTTTACGGCCCAAAAAGTGTGGCTACATTATTCTCTAGTACAGTGGTCCCCAAAGTTTTTTACCTCACAGACCGTTTTCATGTCAGACAATATTTCGCGGACCGGTCGAGAAGGTCCAGCAGAATAACGGGGGGGGTAGTAGCCGCGCGCTCTCTGTTCGCTGGTGGGCGAAACTGCCGTGCACGGTAAGAGGACAATTGTAAACGTGAAGAAAAACGTCTGGTGACGCGTGGGGAACATGTCAGAGGTACGAGCGCACAATTTTCAAAATAAAAAAAATATGTATATATTCTTTCTGTGTTGCGGCCCAGTACCAAATGGCCCACGGACCGGTAGCGGCCCGGTGGTTGGAGACCACTGCTCTAGTAGATACGGAGAACTCTTGTTGAAGCAAATGCAATAAAAAGTAAAAGTACGGGAGGTAATACCAGCATAGTATCAAACGGAACATGGAAACAGTGCTATTCAATTTCAACATTTTTATTTAAAGGATTTGAAGCACTTCTGAATGTATTGTAATGGACCAACACAAAATAGTCCATCATCTAGAAGTCGGGTGAAAGTTTACATGAAATTCTAAATTATTTACAAGTAAAAATCTGAAAAGTCTTGAGTCCATTAGTATTCACCTCCTTTACTGTAAAAGCCCTAACAAAGATCTATCGTCTCAATATAAATACACGTGTTCTGTGAAGGCCTCAGAGTTTGTTAGAACATCATGAAGACCAAGGAGCGCACCAAAGCGCTCAGGGACAACGTTTCAGCTCAGTATGAAGCAGGGTTAGGATATTTGAACATTTCACAGAGCACCTTAAAATCCATCATCAAAAAACGGAGCTTCACCTTTTTTGCCAAGAACAATGGAGGAACATTTCCATCTCTAGATGTGCAAAGCTAGTGGAAATATACCCCAAAAGACTACAGACAGCTGTAATTGCAGCGAAGTATTGACTCAGGGGGCTGAATACTAATGCATCCAACAGATTATTTATTACACATTATTATTGATAAAAAGTATTTCGCACCTTCAAAGTACTATGCATGTTGTGTTGATCAAATGGAAAAGTCTACTTGAATTCCAGTTTGTAACCGTACAAAATGGGAAAAAATCCAATGGGGTTGAATATGTATGCAATGCACCGTATTTACAAGGAGAATAAAGGTTGTATTCCTACTTTTTTTATTCTCTTTTGTTGCAGTATCGATAAAATCGTAACTTCTGTCATTTACTTCAACCTTTCATGATGATTTATACAATTACAACTGAAACGTTTTCAGTACTCTTAATTCAGGATTGTTCAATTGTTCTGGAATATTGTTCAACCCAATTAGTAAATGTAAAGGAAGTATCTGCTGTCATGTAAAATATATTGTAAATATAAATGTATGTTAGCTTTGTTTAATGCAGTTGGTCCAATATGGCAAATAGTCCAGTATTAAAGTAGCGTTAGCCAGTTTTTCGGCTTCGGGACCACTCTCTGAATGTCCTTGAGTGGCCCAGCCAGAGCCCTGACTTGAACCCGATTGAACATCTCTGGAGAGACCTGAAAATGGCTGTGCACCGACGCTCCCCATCCAACCTGATGGAACTTGAGAGGTTCTACAAAGACGAATGGGAGAAACTTCCCAGAAATAGGTGTGCCACGCTTGTGGAATCATACCCAAGAAGACTTGAGGCTGTAATTGCTGCCAAAGGTGCTTCAACAAAGTATTGAGCAAAGACTGTGAATACTTATGTACATGTTATGTTTTTGTTCTTTATTTTTAACAGATTTGCAAAAATTAACAGTTTTCACTGTCATGTCCAGAAAAAGATGTTAGTTAGGTTGTCTCGTGTCCGTCTCGTGAGTTCCTGTTTTATTTTGGAAAATGAACCTTCCCCTTGTTTCAGGCAACTTTCCCCTTCCTCTTGTGTCGGTGTGATTGCCGCCCCTCCCCTGATTGTCTCCACCTGTGCACTTCCCCTATGTGTGTGTATATATTGTCTGAGTCTCCCTCTGTCCTGTGCCAGTTCGTCTTGTCCCAAGCCACCGTGCCAGCGCTACGTATGTCCACAGTCTTGCCTCGTTTTTTGTCGACACCTTAATTGAGCCTGCTTTCAGTTTTTGTCTCTAGATCGGTTTTTTCCTCGCCCACGAGTGATTTTTATTTCAGCGGCCATGCCCTGTCCTTTTGTTAATAAACTTTGATTCTTTTTTCGCACCACGTTGTGTGAGTCGTGCATTTGGGTTCCCGTCCACCGTCCGGTAGTGATGGAAAAGTGAAGCTTTCTGAACCAGTGAAGCTTTCCAGCCAATTGTATCGGAAAAAGGTTCATTCATTCAATGCATCGCAAACTCTATGATGACCTCTGCTGTTGAAAACTTGTAGTGCAAATGTATCGAATAGCCCACCAGTATATTTTGGCCCAGTCTCTGTGGGTTGAACATGATTATGAAAAGTTGAACCAATAAATCATCTAATAAATACATGGATTTCTATATGAATAAAACTATTGTTTTTCAGGTTTGAATTGTGTCCTTGTTTGTGTATTTCAATTCTCTGTACATTGGAAAGAAGTTTAACAAACACTTATCTATATCTTTCTGCACCTTTGTGCATGTATGTTTGTTATCATACTAGCAGAATAATTAATAGAAGATATATAATAGACGATTATATATATATATATATTTCATATATATTATATATATAACATATATAACTATTATATATATAACATATATATATATATATATATATATATGACATGTAAGCAATATAATTTAAAATATCAGCAAGTGCTTCCTACTGCATGTGCAGTTCATGGCAGTCATAGGGACTTGGATTGTTTGAATGTGGGAAGTGATTTGCAGAGGAAAGGTCAGTGGGGCAGTGATTGTGCTTTTGGACAGTTTCTTATGACAGGATATTGAGGTGATTGTGGACACATGGGATGGGGCATGAAGTTATTATTGATTTTTATTGAGAAAGACAATTTTCTCCACAGAATTGGGGTTGAGTCGGTTTCTTAGATACTATTTCCCCTGCCTTACAAAAAAGGCGCTTACACGACACGATGAGGCAGGAATGCTCAAAAGATTACGTGCTAATACAAATAGATGTGGGTACACATGTTTGTGTTTGATTCGATATTTTAGCGGGTCTTCACTCCGTGGAATGTTTGATTCAGCCAAATATCGGGTGGTCTCCACAATAAAAATAAACATCCATAATTACACAATACAAATGACAGACTTTGTCTGCCTATTACAAACCTTGTTAGAGGAAATCAAATTGAAGTGCTCCCACATCTCGGAGCGACCTCTCTTTGCCACAGGTTCCATTGTAAATTTGCTACTACTACTACTACAACAACACTGACTTTGACTGTATCAAACAGACAAGCCCCAACCCTGTTTCGAGCCCATTTGAATCAATTCGAAGCTGTCACGTGACTGTGCGCCGGAACGAAGCTTCGGACGTCACTGATCACGTGATCAGCAGCGAACGAACCGAGCACCGATACAATTGCTTCGCCCTGCACTGGTTCATATTTCGACACAAGCTTCGAAGCAGCAGGGTGGGAGGTAACAACACTACCGTCCGGTCGTGACAGAACGAACTGGCCAGCATGAACCCAGCAGACTCGGATAACCTAAAGGCAGCCATTGGCGCTCAAGGTAACCGCCTTAAGCAGCAGGAGGATCAATTGTCCGCCCTGCAACATGGAGTGGAAGGGCTGGCAAGCGGGCAGGAGGACTTCAAGGCCGCCATGACGACCCAGGTGAATCTCCTATCTAACCAGATTCATCAGATGCTCACCCATCTGAACCAAGCACCATCAGCCTCGCCCGTGCTGGCGGCTGCCGACGCACCACCAGCTCCAGCTCCCCACAGTCAGGCAATTCGCCTTGCCCCACCCGAGAAGTTCTCCGGTGAGTCTAGGGAATGCAAGTCCTTCATAGTTAACTGTGAAATGCACTATGAACAATTGCCCTCAGCCTTCCCCACAGAAAGGTCCAAGGTGGCATTTATGATTTCCCATCTCACGGGGAGAGCGAAAGTATGGGCAACCACGGAATGGTCCAGAGCTTCACCAAGCTGCCAATCACTCGCTCGGTTCACCGAGACATTGAGGAGGGTGTTTGACCCCACGACATCCGGCAGAGAGACAGCCCGGGAGCTGAACACTATCCGCCAAGGTATGGACTCTGTCTCAGACTATGCCATCCGCTTCCGCACACTAGCAGCAGATAGCGGATGGAATGCCACGGCATTGTATGATGCATTCATCTCAGGACTCTCGGATCCCATCCAAGACCTGTTAGTTCCCCTTGATTTGCCTGAGGACCTCGACGCAGTCATCGCATTGGCTGTTAGGACAGACCATCGTTTGAAGACACGAATGCAGGACCGAGGTCTCCCTTCAACAAACTCAAGGGTCGTTTCCCCCCTACCGTCGCCGGTCCAGTGGAGAGCTGTCTCTTCGCGTGATCCAGAGGAGCCCATGCAGCTGGGACAGGCTCGTTTGTCCGCTGAAGAACGACGACGCCGCCTGCAGGAAGGCAGGTGTTTCTACTGCGGGGAACAAGGACATCTAGTGGTAGGGTGTCCGGCGAGGAGGACAACCCACCAGGGGAAGAAGAGTCCCCTGTCGAACCGCTTCGCCTCATCGGGCAGTTCCTCCCGCTCCCTGATGAAGATCCAGGTAAGCCACCATGACACCACAGTTTCAATGGGAGTACTGGTTGACTCTGGGGCTGATGAAAGCCTCATGGACTGGGGTTTTGCCAACCAAATGGGAGTTAGGTCAGCTCCCTTGAACCAGCCGTTGAAAGCCAGCGCCTTGGATGGCAGCTTTATTTTTAATGTAACACATGTGACTGAACCTGTGGCTATACGCATCGGGGACCACCACGAACTAGTGACGTTTCATCTGTTCCACTCGGCCCAACACCCCCTGATTTTGGGGTTCCCCTGGCTCAAAAAACACAACCCCCACATTGACTGGTGCTCTGGGAGGATCATAAGCTGGGGAGGGAAGCGGGGGGGGCTAGACAGGGTTCCTGGCCAAGAAGTGGAGATTGGAGTCATTGGGGACCTTGTATCGGCTTCAGCTCCGACCCACACACACAACTTGCGTGATGTGACCTCCGTTCCCAGTTGTTATCACGATCTTGAGGAGGTGTTCAGCAAGAGTAAGGCCACTTCCCTACCACCCCATCGTCCTTATGACTGTCCCATTGACCTTATCCCGGGTGCGCCCATTCCGAAGGGGAGACTTTATTCCATCTCCGGCCCTGAG